TGAAAGCTTCCCAAAGTAGACAGAAGAGTTATCATGACAAGCGAATGAAGGATTTAGAATTTCAAGCTGGTGATCATGTGTTTTTGAGAGTTACACCTGTGACTGGTGTTGGGAGAGCATTGAAGTCTAAGAAGCTCACTTCTTGTTTTATTGGACCGTATCAGATTTTGGAGACAATGGGGAATGTTGCTTATAGAGTGGATTTACTGCCTAATATTTCGAATTTGCATGATGTGTTTCATGTGTCGTAACTTCGGAATTATATTTCAGATCTATCTCACGTGATTCATATGGACGATGTGCAAGTACGGGATAATCTTACGGTGGAGACGATGCCTGTACGGATCGCGGATCGTGAAATAAAGACTCTGAGGGGCAAAGAGATTGCCTTGGTTAAAGTGGTTTGGCTAGGGGCTGCCGGAGAAAGCATGACTTGGGAGTTGGAGAGCAAGATGCGAGACTCTTACCCTGAGTTGTTTGATTAAGGTAAATTTTCGAGGATGAAAATATTCTAAGTGGGGGAGAGTTGTAACACCCGTAATTTAATTAATTATTTAATTAAATTATTTTTGGAATATTTGAGAAGATGTGTTATGATTAATTGGATTTAATTTATTTTATTAAGCGGAGAAATAATATTAGAAGTATATTATTATGTGGTGTAGGCTTATTTTGAAGGGATAGAAGTAGTAATAAGGGGGTGTATTAGTTTTGAGCCCAATAAGGAATAAAGAATAATAGGTTATTTTATTGTTGTTAGAAGGAATAGAAAGAAGAGGCAGTAAGAAGAATAAGGATTGAGAAGGAGAACGTGCAAGCTGTTGGAAAGTGGAAAAACGGAAGAACGAGAATTCGACCGGAAATTATAGAGCGACCTTCAATCCAAGGTAAGGGTGGGGTTCTGACTTTGTAATTGGGTTCATGATGATTGATATGTGGGGTTAGATGTGATTGATGTCTTGTTCTTGAATTGAATGCATATGATGTTGTATGATGAACAATTGATGAATTTTAGATGAATAATGATGTCCCGATGTTGTTTGATTGATGTAGTATTATAGGATAATTGTAGGTGATGATTTATCATGATTATATTAAGTTTGTAGGGTTAAAAACATGATTCCCATAGTGAAAATGCAGAGGAAATCGCATAATTGTGCAGGAAGGGACAGGATGTGTCGACCTCAAACAGGATGTGTCGATACATGAGGGCCTAGAGACTCAGTATGAGTCGACACAAAGAGACATGTGTCGATACATGAGGACCTAGAGACTCAGGATGAGTCGATCTGTAGGATGTATGTGTCGATACATGCTGAGTATAAGACTCAGGATGAGTCGATCCATGAGAGGATGCGTTGACTCATGTTGTGCAGTTAAGGGCAGTACGTGTCGATCCAAGGGGTTTTGCGTCGACCCATATTGTCTGACTTTTGGCAGATTCAGTTTTAAAGTGTTGTAACTTGAGTTTTAGGATGCCGTTTGAGATGTCGTTCGAAGAGTTGAATAGCTAACGCGATAAACTTTATTCTAGAGGATTAAAATGAAGAATAGGAAGTGTAGTCCTAGTAGCCAATTTAGGATCTAGAGTAATTCCCATATTGATCGTTGTGTTGGTTTTGTACAGAATGATGCAAATTAGATGCTTAGAGGCTGCTGTTTGAATTATAATAGTAGGATTAGTGATAGTGCTGAAGTAAGATTACAAAATAGCAGTATGAATTACTGTAGTATTAATGTACAACTGAGTTGTTGATGAGAAGTTATTAATGATGTTGTGTTGATAATTTATGATAAATAAATGATGTTTGATGAATTATTATGATGATATGAGATGTTGATGAAGAGACGTTGAGATGCTTTTGAGATGTTGTCAATTTGAGATGTTGTTAATTTGAGATGTTGTTAATTTGAGATATTGTTAATTGTGATGTTGTTATTACATTCATGATTGTGTCGCATATATTGCATTCTGAGATGGAGCTTACGCTCGTTGAGATGGCCTGTATTGGCGAATTTTGAGATGAAGGCTATGCCTTGTTAATGCCTCTATTAATTGGCAAATTTTTTAGATGAGAGTTCTGCTCCAATGGTACCACATGCATTCGCATAGTATTGAGTCGCATTATATGATTGCATAAAGAAGTTGTATTGATATTGTGAATGTGTATTATTATTGAGATTGTTGTCGATTATGATATGAGAAGTGGTGATGTTATGTGATCTAATTTAATATATTAATTATCATGCGCTTTATTATATTGTTAGATATCTCACCCCTTCTGTTTGAATGTTGCCCTTATGTTGGTAACGTGCAGGTAATTGAGAGTGAAGGTTGTATACCTTCGCTAGTTCGAGTCGGTGTTATTGCTCTGATATATAACACTCGGGGGGATGAACGCTTGCTGTTTTTAATTGTTGATTTTTCAGTTGTTGAATTTTAAGTTGATTATTACTAAATATGTGCTATTTTGAAGTTGCTGTAACGATGATTAAAGATGTTATTGAGAATTCCGCTGCGTAGATGTTGAATTATTTAACTAAAGATGTTACGATGATAGTTCATCCGGTGTTTTAAAAGTATTATATATCCACGATGAATGCAATGAATTTTGATAGAAGAATTTGTGACGTCCCGATTCGTTTGCATGGTTGAATTTTATAACTCTGATTTATTTATATAATTGCTTAGGGTAGAATTGGGGTGTTATAAAGTTTGTCTTCTAACTCGTTTGAATTATGTTTTTGTCACTGTTTGTGACTGTCATGGAAGTGAGAGGGGTCTCATACCTAGGTGAGTATTAGGTAGAAATATAGCACGGGTAGTGATTAAGTGAGAAGTTGTAAATGGGGGAGTTTAGTTTCGAATTGATACTATTTAGTGGATTTCTTTCCTAGCTTGGTAGCCCCCATAGTAGGTTTTGTTGTACACCGAATTGGGTTAACAATTATGTGTGTTATTTACTTACTACACTATTTTTATTATCTTATATTTTGTTCAGAGATTATTTTGTCGACATCTCTTAGGACATCTGAGCTTCTGAATACCATAATTCCATAGAAAGTATCAAGTTGTTCAACATATTTCTAGTCGTTCTTATAATTGATTCAACGTACAAGACCAACAAATATAAGCTTCGGCTTCTAGAAGTTATTGGTGTCACTTCTACGAAGAAGACAACGTAAAATGGGCATTGGATATAGGCAAGTCTTTATTGAAGGATCAATAAAATATGCCTAGTGTCATTGTAATTGGACGAGATAACGCCCTTATGAATGCGGTTGGAAGTGTGTTTCCTACTTCATATGCATTACTATGTCAGTATCACATAACAAAAAATTTCAAAAGTAAGCTAAAACCTGCAGTTGGCAAAAAAGATATCAAGGGTGAAGTGTGTTTCCTACTTCATACACATTTTATCGCTGTTTAATTTTCCCCATTTAGTTTTTCCAGGTTTCTATTGTGCTGATTCACATAAAACTATTTGTGTCGCTGGTTCTGCATATTTCAGATATGCATAACTGAAATGGTCTATATTTAAAATAAAAAACAGAACATGGGTTATTTCGGATATTCATATCCGAACAATCCTTCAATTTAAAAACACAAAATAAAGGTTACTTCAGATAGGCATATCCGAAACTCTCTTTTACGTAAAAAAAGATTAATTCATATGTGTATATCCGAAATAAGCACTGGTGGCAGGATAAGAATTCTTGGGTCCAAGTTGCTCCATCTCTTCTATAAATAGGGTCTCCAACTCATTTCTTCAACATTGCAAACCATAAATAGACATGACCCAAACATATCATCACCTTGCTTTTGTCCACTTCAATGGTAACATGCCGCCACTTTCAGTTTCATGTCTTCGAGGACACGCCTGTCGATGGACTGATTACCACATTGAATTCTCTCTTACAATATCCAGAAAATCGAAAGGTGATTAAGATCGAGTATCGTTCACCCTCACTTGACACTGAAGGTAAAATAAAGTTTACCAAGTTTGAGCTGAAGACAGATGACGACTTAAAGGTTATGTGGAGTACTTTTCAGCGATACTCGACTAAGAGTCCGATTGAAGTAGATGTGAAGCTTCAAAGATCGGGAGAAGATGTTATCAAAATGTTATGGCATCCACAACTACCCATTTATAACAATATGTAATGCCAAATTTTTATTCAATTATCTATGTAATTTCGACTATTTATGTTAAATCTATGTTAAGTTGCTTTGGTTTGGTTTCAAGAAGGGTTTTGATTCATTCACAACTTCTGCATATTTCAGATATGCATATCCGAAATAAAGCGTTGGTGTCTTCGGATATGTATTTCCTAAACTATTTGATAAAAAATAAAATATGGTGAATTCATATATACATATTCGAAATTAGGGGGTAAAATGAGAATTTCGCCACAGACCTCTAAGAAGACATAAATGTGGCTAAAAAAATCCCCTTAAAAAATCAATACAAATTGTTCTCTCCTTCATTATCAAAACCTTTCTATGTATCTAATTAAAAAAAATTAAATGATTAATAAATTAAAATTTTTCTCTCTTTTTATTAAATATTTTTATAAATATTTTTCCTACAAGGATTTATTAAAAAAAAACAATGTGTGAAAGGATTAATTTTGATTTTATGCAAAGTTTTTATTTATTTTAATTTTATTTTTAGTTATTATAAAATGAAAAAATAGTTCATATGGAGTGAAAAGTAATGAACTTGGGAACGAAGGTGGGAGAGGCTTCCCCACTTGACTGAGAGAGTAGGTCTGAATAGCCGAGGAAGAAAGGAAGCAAAACCTTCACAAAGAGAGAGATCAAGTGGGTTAGATTCATCATTTTTACTTCCCTCTCTCTTTTTCTCCGATTTGATTTCACGTATCTCACACACACAACGTGTTTGATGAAATGTTTCATTGAACGAGTGTGTTTTCTAGGTCTGAAATTTGAATGAGTAACTATTCCTATTCTCTTTCACAGAAGGAAGTATACAATTATGGTGCAGTGGCAGAGACATCTTTTCCCAATTCTTCGTCGCATTCATAAGGGAGTCGAGCATGTCAATCACTCGGCTACGAACCTTGTAATTTATCGCTTTGCCTCTTCTCTTACACAAGGTTAAAAGAGCTTCTGTCCCCATTTTAATATCTTTTTAGTTTTCTAACCAGGAGTTACTTATGTTTGTAAGAGTTTATAAGGAAAAACCTCTGCTTCGTATTGTAGGTCAGTTACAGAGGCAATCATCAACAAGTTTTCCAACTGTCTCAAGGCCTTTTTATCAGTGTTTTCAATATCAGGTAAAATTGTTTCAAATTTCAATTGCACCATCATCATTCATGTTTTGGTTTGGTTAAAGTCTTGTCTCTACTCTTTAGAGACTTCCTGACATAGGGATTAAAGAGTATGATTTGAACAAGAAAAATAGGTTAAGATTATTTGGAACTGTTCTTTATTTGTGGTGCATCAACTTGGAGTCTAGAAGAGGGATGCATGGATTTTTCAAAGTGTTTTTGATGTTTGTAGAATTTATTTCCAAAAGATTAAAGTTGTTGGCTTCTCTCAAGTGCATGACTCATTGACTTCTAAGAGAGTTGCCATTTTGGATTTGCTTAGATTTGATTTCCACTGTTGACTTTTATTTTTAGTTCTGTTTTTCTGATTCTTTGTATATTTCACTTTCATTTGTCTTTTTTGCTGAGGATATATCATAATCTCCAATTTTTGTATATCTCTAGTCTACATTTTTAATCATCTTTTCATATAAAAAAAAATTACTGTCATAATGATTCTTGCTGCTTTCTAAACAATGTTTACCCGTTTTAATATTATTTGTGTAATTCAATTTCAGGGAATTTCTAGTTCTACCCAGTTGCTCAAAAATTCATCTGAGGACGCACCTGTTTCGTCGCCTTTAGTTCCAGTTTCATCATTTGGTAGTTCAAAAGGTGAAGACCAGAATCAGAAAGCAATTACTAAGGCAGAAAAAGTTCAAGCAGTACTAAAGAAAATAAAGCAGGTTTGAGATGCCTTATCTTTTTATGCTTTGGGTTTTCTTATATGCATGTTGTTGAAATCAGTGTTTTACTTTCACTTTTGCACTATGGGCTTGTTGGATAGATCTTAAAAAATCAGTATTTAAATTTTAGTCCTGGAAATTTAAAATGGAATGTACTTTTTATGAAAAGATTTTAACATGAAGCGCTAAAATGTGCATTAAAGAAAGACAATAGTCTTTCACAGAATTAATATGAAAGAAGTAAGGAAATTATCATCATTTAATGTTTTTTGATTGAGAAATAGTTTCTGCAATATTCATTCCTTGAAGCCTGTGTGCTGAATTTACTCAGCCTATTTCACTTCAAAAATTTTGTTTTTAAATTGAAATAATAAATATTCCAATAGAAACTGAAAATGAGAGTGTAGATAAACATACTGCATATTAGTTTATAAGCATAGTCCTGTCACTCTTATAAGAAGTAACTTGATGGTGTAAGTATAATAGTATATATAGTATCCAGATGAACAACCCAAAAATGGAAGCTTGACCGATAAGCAGAACTTCAAGGATCTGCGTGCAGACCCTTTTGCATATCGCAGGTCTTTCCTAGCCTCATTTATTTGTAGTACTAGCTTATTCCTGGCAATCTAGGCCTACCCTGCCATGTGTGCAGGTTGGTCTGCACAAGCTAACTACTAATTTCCCACATTTCAGCCTCAGTATCTCGTACAATTTCACCAACACCCTTCCAACTCTTTCTACTGTAATCCTTTGAAATAGGAAAGAGGCTAACACTTCTCAAATCTACGTATTCATTGTTGAATATTTTGCATTCATCCTTAAATCATCAAATAGACTTTAATTTTGAAGTACTTTACTTCACCGTTTTAATGATTGTATTCCATTCTGGTGTAATTGCTTGTAATTCAATCTTCTATGAATTTCTGAAATGTCTCAATTTTATTCTGTTCATGATAGATTATTTTATGGCCAATTTTGATGCAACTGCTTAAAATCCCTATTGTTTATTGTTGAGCATTAGGTTTCTTACATTGCATGATTTAGAAGCAAATGTTTGTAATTTTGTATTCAACATTACACTAGGTTCTAAAATATCATGTGTTTTTGTGTTATCATTGGTTCGGTATCTGTTTAAGATATAAAGTTCTAATCAGTTCTTTAGTATGCTTGTTAAAGTGGACACAGAAGCTTCATCAGTAAATTCTTCTTCGGAATGATGTGAATGTTGTAAAGCTGCAATTGTTTTGTGTCAGTGCTTACATCATTTCAAGTATGGTGATGTGAATCTATTTACCATAACCCGGTGCCATTAAATATAAAATATATATTTAATAGATGGCGGTGATTTGTTACTTGTGACTTGTTAGAGAGGTTAAATCCATAATTTGTCTTTTACTGCTACCCTCCCTGCTGTGCATCCCATCCCCCACTGTCGACTACTAACTGATCCCTCACTGGCACTTCCCTCTGCCTTCTTTGCTCTAAGCTTTACATCATCCCTTCTCATTTGAATGGGTCAAAATGATATCTACTTGTTAAGAAACTGCTTTTTTAATCAGTTCAGTTTGCAACAACTTCTTGCAGACGATTTGGCATCTAATTGTCTTGCCATTGAAATGCCTCCCCTATAGATTTCAGTTGCTCTGGAAACTGTCATAATTTATGGATTATGTGTTTTAATTTATGTTAATTTTAAAAAATTGTATTTTAGAGTCCAAAGAAGCTGAACTTGGTTGCTGCTTTGGTACGTGGTATGCTTGTTAAAGATGCATTGCTGCAGTTGCAAGTGACAGTAAAGCGGGCTTCAAAAACTGTATATCAGGTAGTAAACATTAATTGTTGTTCTGTCACTTAATTTGACAAGTCTGTAAAAACTATGTATTAAAATTGGTTTCTAAGTTCCTATTGGACATGCATCAGATTTTATTCATCCTTTTTCCACTCTTAGCGCTTTTCCTTTTTGATTTTGAGTTGGAACTATGTTATGACACTTAGTTTGAAGGAATTGAAATATATACATTTTATTTAGATTTCATTTGAGGTCTTTTCAATTTCAATTGAAGAAGGTTCTTCTATTTCTCTATAGGAAAAGAAAAATTGAAAAAAGTTTAATACAAATTGCAGGTTATTCATTCAGCCAGAGCAAACGCTTCTCACAATCATGGGTTGGATCCCGAACGCCTCATTGTTGGTAATTTTATTTGCTATAAACTGTTAGTGTGGTGAAGTTGTCTTGTCGCTTTGTTTTTCTATTTACATGATGCTCTTTCATGTTTCTTACAGCTGAAGCATTTGTTGGAAAGGGAGATTTTAAGAGGAGAATTTCCTACCATGGCAAAGGAAGATCTGGAGTCATGCACAGACCAGAATCCAGGCTAACTGTTGTAGTTAGAGAGATAACCCCTGAAGAAGAAGCAGATATTGCTAGGCTGAAGGTCCACAACTTTAAGAAGCTTACTAAGAGGGAGAGTCGACTTGTGCCACACCAGCTTATCGAGACCACTCCTGTTTGGGGCCGAAAAAACAAATCTAGCCGTCAAGACTCGAGTGTTGCAGTTGCATGATCCTTATTTGCAAGTTTCATGGTTTGATTTATGGTTATGACTTATTTTTGTGCAATAGATTCTTGTGCATCATGCGGAATAGTTAAGAAATATGTAAAACTAAGGTTTCACGCCGAGACTAGTTATAAATGGCTAGGTTATGTATTTGAATTTTGTTTGCTCTTTGGTGCAAATAATAAAATTTTGTATGGACCATGTTTGGTATTATTCTCATTTATTAGCTTTTGTTTTGTTCCTACAACAATGTCACTTCTAAAATAGTCTAATGTGCTGAATCAGCCTAAAATTGTTCAAAACCGATGCCAAAGAACTAGGATTGAATTGATTATTTCTGTAACAATTAATGTAATAATCAGATCTACATTTTTGCATTGATTATCTTTTTAAAAATAACATTAAAAGATCAGATGAACTGAATTTTGAAGTCACTCGGATAAAAAAATCAATACAGTATTTTGCATTTTTTTTGGTGGTACAAAATATCATTTTAACTAGACAAGTTCTAAATTTACCTCTCAATAATCTTGAGGATTTTTTAATTTTTCTATTGACTCTTTTCAGTATTATTTTTTTGCTAGTTTATTCTCTATGCTCTGAAGTTTTTAGAAGGATCTTTTAAGAATTTTAGAAGAAAAAATGACTTATCTAAAGAATTATTTCATAAGAGTTTTATACAAGTTTTAAAAAAAAATTCACTAAGTTAACGATACTATTTAACATATTTACATGAAAAGCAACCTATCTTTAAAAAAAAAAATTCATTAAATAAATTTGTTATTCAGAACTAGCTTCTAAACGGATATTTCCGTATTCATTTGTCCGCTTTTTTAATACGGATAATGTCGAAATATAATCAATATTTTTGTTTAATAATGATTTTAATTTATACTATTTAAGCAATAACATTTTTTTATATCTTGATATATATTAACTTAATTTTATTTTAAATGTGGCACATAATAATCCAATTAAATAAATAAACATCTATAAAGTATCATATTTGATGAAATAAACATATACTTATTTAAATGAAGAGTTTGAATTCAATATTCTACATTATCCATGTTCTTTAAGATTACCGATGTGTATTGCTTAAACATTGTTAATGTATATTTATAAGTTACACAAATAAAGACATTATCTCTCTATTCTACATTATTCATATTCTTTAACGTTGTTAACGTGTATTACTTAAATATTACTATAATATATATATATATATATATATATATATATATATATATATATATATATATATATATATATATATATATATATATATATATATATATATATATATATATATATATATATATATATATATATATATATATATATATATATATATATATATATATATATATATATATATATATATATATATATATATATATATATATATATATATATATATATATATATATATATATATATATATATATATATATATATATATAAACATTGCTCATAAATATTTATAAGCTACACAAAATAAACTCTCTCTCACAGATAATTTAAGTTGTAAAATTAAAATGTCCAATCGTTGTAGGATCATTTGTATTTGTACGCGTGCACATTAAAAAAACATGTCCAATCGCTAATGTATGATTATAACATTTCCAACCAAAATATAAACAATTTTAAGTAGTAAAATTAAAATTGTATAGTTTAACAAATTTAAAATACATTAAAAAAACATGTCCAATCGCTAATGTACGATTATAACATTTCCAACCAAAATATAAACAATTTTAAGTAGTAAAATTAAAATTGTATAGTTTAACAAATTTAAAATCAAATTGAATATGACCATTTTAAAAATAAATAGATAGATATGAAAAATAGAGTTAATGAGACAACATCATAGTATTTGATTCCTAAAGAGAATGAATGATGAAAACAAAATATTAGAAGAACAAATTCTAAATTGATTGTGAATTTCAATATCAATAGTTAATTTTTTTAGTATAGTATTTTACAACTTTTTAATAGTTTTTTTAGAGTTTCGATTTTGCTTCCAAACATTATTTCACCATTTTTGTGTTATAGATGAAATCTTCTACATAAAAACATATAACAAATTGGCTTGAAAAATTGATGAATGCAAAAGGATTTAAATAGATTATGGCAATTGAAGCGTAAATAAGAGGTTTGACCCATGCTACATAATACAATTCATTATCCAAGTAAAGTAAAAAAAATATTAATATTCAGAATCAATTAACATACTAACTCCTAAGGCATATTGTTATTATGTAAACAATGAGTACCATCATATTAAAAAACACTTATCGTGATCATTATGAGAAGTTTAAATACTATGCCGAAGAGAATTAAAAAAGTAGGAAGTAAAACCTCTCTACTTTTTCTATCACAACCACTCTATTATTTGTCTTATTAACCTTCCTTCTCTATTTCTATTTCGTACTGACTCTTACACTTCATAATATAGGCAACTCTTAAAAAAAAATATATAACAACAAAAGTTTATGTAAATGCAAATACCAAACAATTCACTAATAACCAAATATCAAAGAATTTATGGAAAAAAGAATTTATGAAAAAAAAGATCAAGATGATTAAGAATTATAGATGGAAAGAGAGAAGAAATAAGAGTGTTTTTTTGGATCCACTTCTGTTTCATATAGTCACAAACTTGATTGAGTATGTAAAAGAAATAAGTGTCACAAACACAATAGAAAAAAAATTAGTTGTCCATGTTAAATTGTAATTCAGTGTGTCGAAATTATGTGTTGAAAATATTAGATTTGTTTTAGATTTAAATATATTTGATTTAAGTTTAAAATAAATTAGATTTGATTTAGTAACAAAATATATATTTTGGACTTTGGACTTAGGGTGTAAGCTCGGCTATAAATAGAGGGAGTAACCCTTATTTTTGTAAGCAAGTCAATTAAGTTGTATTCACAGAATTTGCAGTTGCAAGTGAATAAGAAAGTTTTCTATAATTTGTGGGCAGGGAGAAACTCTGCAGGAATTATTTGTCTTGTCTTCTTTTCTTTGTTTGTCTCATAATTAAATTGTCATTGTGGTAGAAATTCATCATAGAATTTGGTGGATTTTCAACATCTGGTATCACAGCTTTATTTCGATTTGAGGAAAGTATCAATCAAGAACGATTGAAGAATTCACGATGACAAGTTATGGGAATGCAAATTATCCAACAACTCTACCAATTCTAAAAGTAGACAACTATGAAAATTGGTGCAAACAGATGAAAGTCTTATTCAGGTGTCAAGGTCTTTGGGATCTTGTAAAAGATGGAGTCGAAGTGCTTGGAGAAAATGCTTCAGAAGAAGAAAAGAAGAAATACATAGAACCTGAGAAGCTGAGTTATAAAGCATTATTTATAATTCATCAATGTGTCAGCCCAGACAATTTCAAAAATATTAGTGATTCAGAATCTGCAAAAGAAGCTTGGAAAATCCTTGAGAAGTCTTTTGGAGGCCCTGAGAAAGTGAAAGAAGTGAGGTTACAAACTCACAAAAGGACGTATGAACTGCTTCAGATGGAAGACAGTGAAAGCATATTTGATTTCTTCACGAGAGTTACAAAACTAGTAAATCAAATCAAGATATGTGGAGAAACGTTAACAACAAGAGTTGTTGTTTCAAAGATTTTAAGATCTTTGGCCCCTAAGTTCGACCACATAGTGGTGGCGATAGAAGAGGGGAAAGACTTATCGAAATTGAAAAAGAAAGAGCTTCAAGGGACGCTTGAATCTCATGAACAAAGAATGAACGAAAGAGCTGCAGGCAAATCAAAGAGTGATGTGGCCTTGCAGGCACATTCAGCAAAAGAAACCAAAGGCAAAGGAAAGTATTTCGACAGAGGTAGAGGTGGCTACAACAAATTGAATGGTAGAGGAAACCAAATCGAAGGAGACGTGTCAAATCAAAGAAGACCATACCAAGGCAACCAAAGAGGTGGTGTTGGAAATAGAGGAAGAGGTGGTGGTCGAAAACCTGATAAGAGTCACATTCAATGTTACAATTGTCAGAAGTATGGACATTATGCGAGTGATTGTCCAGAAAAATGAAAGAATCAAGAAAGTGATACAAAGCTTGCAAAACATGAAGAAGAAGAGATGATGCTGATGGTCACAACAAGAGATGAAGATAGATTCAAGGACCAATGGTACTTGGATTCAGGATGTTCATCAAATATGTCTGAAAGGAAAGACTGATTTGTCAATATAAAGCCCTCAATGAAAAATATGGTAAACTTTGCAAATGACAATACCCTAACAGCTGAAGGTATTAGTGATGTTATGATTATAAGCAAAGATGGCAAGAGGTCATTAATTTCCAATGTGTTGTACATACCAGGCATGAAGAGCAATTTGCTCAGTATAGGGCAGTTGGTCGAAAAGAATTATAAAGTGTCAATCGAAGATAAGATGATGAGAGTTGTTGATACAAATGGGAGATTAATCTTGAAGGCTCCTATGTCTCAGAATCGAACCTTCAAGATTGAACTAAATGTGATAGAGCACAAGTACCTTTCGACTGCAGCTAGCAGAGATGAATGGATATGGCATTATATACTAGGTCATCTCAACTTCAGAGACATTAGAGATTTGAAGAGAAGAAATATGGTTTCAGGATTGCCATAAATCGACATTCCAAACGAGGTATGTGAGAAATGTGTGCAGGCGAAGCAACACAAGAATAACTTCAGCAAGGATGCAGGAAGCAGGTCGAAGGCTAGTCTTGAAGTCATATACTCTGATGTATGTGGACCAATCCAGGTGGATTCGATGGGAGGTAACAAATACTTTGTTACATTCATAGATGATTTCAGTCGAAAGCTATGGACTTACCTGATCAAGAAGAAAAGTGAAGTGATCGAAGTATTTGCCAAGTTTAAGTCTATGGTCGAAAGACAGAGTGGTCGAAAGCTTAAAATTTTGAGAACTGATGGTGGTGGAGAATATGTGTCGAAAGACTTAGACAGGCTATGTGAAAAGGAAGGGATTG